TATTATTATTATTATTATTATTATTATTATTATTATTATTATTATTATTATTATTATTATTATTATTATTATTATTATTATTATTATTATTATTATTATTATTATTATTATTATTATTATTATTATTATTATTATTATTATTATTATTATTATTATTATTATTATTATTATTATTATTATTATTATTATTATTATTATTAATATTATTATAATTATTATTATTATAGAAAACTCTACGTAATGAATATTATATCATCAACGACATATCCATCCATCAAATTTCCGAAAGCTATGAGAGCAATTGTCGGCCAAACATTAGCTTCAACAATATCGAGTTCAATGAGCCAAGTTTATCCACAATTCTCGCCTTGCGTAAAAAGATCTGTGGTGATACCTGTAAAAAGTAAATTAATCACCTTCGAATTCGAATGAAGATGTTTGTTTCTCTGCTTCAAAGATTCTGAATGTTGTAAATTTGAAGCTAGTACTTTCAAATCCCAGTGGTCTCGTTTAATAACTTGAGGCTTAAAGAGAGAATTGAGGAATTGGCGGAATGATTCAGCAGGCGCATGAAGGAGAATGTCGGGATATACCGTAAGTAATCAATTTCAAATTAGTAGTGAGAGAAATACAGGGATGACAAGATTGAAGGGGAATGCGGCAGGGGAGGGACAGCCGTTCTGAGAGAGAGGCAATCTGAAAATATTTGAACAAATTTTATTAATCATTACGAATTATGAGAGTGTAAACCTAAATCTGGAAATGAAGAAAGCAGAATGAGGAAGGCACGAGAGGTCAATATAGTCATTCGAGCTTATTTGACCCGGATTGGAAGATTTGTAACCATTGCCCAGAAGTTAGAGCGCAGGGATAGGAAGAGATAAGCGATGAAGGAATCGAAACTGCCACCAATACATAACTGACGCTTCCATTTTTTATTTTTGGATGGAAATGAATGAAACATCATCAGCTGAAGGAAGACAGCTTGTTTATATTAGTGCAGAAGGGCAATATTCGCATTCACACTGATATCCCTATTCATTATTACTCACGACATTTTTCGTTCCTTGGAATCACAACAACTGCAATTGTCCTCTCTTCGTAGCATTATCATATCATCAACTTATCTGTTGTTATGTGCAATCACTATTATCAAAATGTGTTATCACACCAGTTACTATCTCTTATCTTATTCACTTCCATCGCAATATGCACTTTGTTTTGGCCTTCGATAGCAGCTCATGAATTAAGTTATTATCTGGACAAGTAAGCCTCCTAACTATTTAACACATTGCAGTTATCAACAAAAAGCATCTGTAAATGAGTTTCAATGCTTTTAGTTAAATGAAGCGTATAAGATATATATATTATATCAGGTCTGCGAGAGATACAATACAGTCGATACATGCAAATTTCTCGCTTCGGCTATTGTCAAATGCAGCAGATGAAGAACTTAACGCAGTGCTGTCACCATTATCACTGGCGATAACATTATCATTGACTAGTGCTGCTGCAAATGGTACTACAAGGCTGCAGATAAACGATGTTTTCGCAAAAGGTACCCTTCTTTTTTTTTTGCTGTACTCAAATTGGAGTGGGAAATTACCCAAAACAGAATGAAGGAGGAAATGGGTAAATTGCAAAATTGCTTTTACCTAGTAATCACTTCTGCTATAATTCTTCAGGTTTCAGTAATAATGCAATACAAAAGTATTATTCATTGCTAGCCAACAGATTACTGCTAGGAAATAATAGTACAACTATAGCACCTGGTCTTTTGGTAGTTCTACATCTTTGTGATCGTGGTACCGTGAGCAGTACTATGATAGACATCGCAAGAAATTATATGGCTGACATACTTCAGTTCGACTGCAAAAACACATCAACCACTGTCGCGGTTGGTTTTTTATGCCTGATCTGGAAGAAGAATTTAGTTTTCTATTTGCGAAATGGACGATAGGATGCGTAATGCTATAGAACAGATGAGGTTGTAAGTATCAGGAATAACTAATACCAAAGTAATTAGTTGCAGCTTTTCACGATCAACTGTCTCCTGGCTATTCCAGGTGACCTTTACATGTAGATAATATTCAATTGACTTGTCAACTCTTTTCAGTTTATCAATCAGTGGATTGCAAATCAAACGAAATCAGAGTTTAAAATCTTTACGAGAAATGTTTGTAATGTAGACTGGCATTTCATGCTCGTCGATAGTTTTTATTTGAACGCTGCTTGGCAGTATCCATTTGACGAGAGAAGGACAACTGCGAAGGATTTCTACGTGAACGAACACAGCACCACTCGGGTAGATATCATTTTCATACCACAGTCATCGCACCAAACAGGCTGGTTACAAATTTTCAGTAACAACTCGGTGTGAAAGATAGAACGAAGGATGAACTGAGCTGACCTTTCTTGAAAGTACTCATAAATTCTCAATCTGCGAAGGTGATTATGAAAGCAGTATAGTTTTCACCTAAGATTTGTAGCACATTTCGATGGGTTGCATTCGTCCTTCCTCACGTAACCGTTGCAGGTAGAAATGATGTCCATGTGGGCATTTGATAAATTTAAATATACCGAAGACGTTGATGTACAGGTTCTCGGTCTTCCCTATCACTTGGATTCTAATCTTTTCCTTTATATATTTCTACCACGAGAGAAATTTGCGTTGCGAAATGTTGTGCGCGAACTGACTGGGCGTCATCTTCTATTTTTGATTGCAAGGTGTAAAATAATGGATGTCGAGGTAGATGTCTTAACTAAATTTGATAAGTTCAAGTCGATAGTGAACAGAATTTCTTTTAATACATTTAAGACATTATTATTTGCCCAGAAATCCGGTCTGATTCTTTACAATGTATAAGAAGTAATTATGACCCAATTTTGGGTAATGAGAGGCAGTGATCGACAGTTTATAATGATAATAGTACAATCCGTGTCCATATAGGGGTGATTAGAATGCTTATCACATTATCGGCGAATGCTTATCACATTATCAGCGGAGATACGGCTTTTGGAATAAACAGATTTTCTAAATGATCATTGCAACTAGTATAAGCACTACAAAGACCGATTGCACCTCGAAATATGGCTTGAAATCATTATTAAGGTGTTCATTTCGAGTAGATAAAGCGCCAGAAACTTATGTCAATATATTTAAGGTTGAAATACCTCGATTTTCGATAGAAAATCATTTTGAACTGAATTTGCCGTTGGCAAATCTCGGAATAGTGGAAGCATTTACCAGTCGGGCTGATTTTTCGGCCATTTCAATTCAGAAGATACATATTTCAACGCTCATTCAGAAGACACAATTTGAGGTATTAATTTACACTGTTGCTGTGAAAGATGGATGTAAACTTTATACTAATTCAACAACTATACCTTTCCCTTTGTTGCAGATTAATGAGAAAGGTTCGTATCCGGTAAATAGCACACACGAAATAGCAAACGATGAGTTAACTGTCCTGTGGCAAGGTGGACATATCAAATTCATTGCCAATCATCCATTTATGTTCGTCATCACAAGGATCGACCAGATGATCCTCATAGGACACTATTCCAGTTAATGAAATGTTGATATGACTTCAGGGAGAAATTCTTTGTTTAACTGAAAGTTTCGCTGATATGACTCCCCTCCTCTGTTGTTATCGAACGGGTTCCACACAGCTAATTTCTGCTCAGATAGAATATACTCTAATAAATTACCCTTCAGTATATACAACTGTTTGATGCGCTGTTTGTGCAAGAGCCGCGCACTCTTGAAATATTCTTGTATTTTCTGTCTTTTTACCCAGCACAATGTTTGACCTGTAGAATTGCCTGATATCTAGCTTACTAATCTCGATGTTACATAAGTCCTGCACAAATACCCTGAGCTTTACGTTGCGACTCAAAACTGAAAGGCTTAGATGACAGATAAAACTAACACATATTACCTCTCCTCAACTATTCAGCGAACTGGGAAAACAAATTCTTTCCTATACCTCATTATTTTTGCAAATTAGACTCTTGAATACATCATATATTACAGGATAGTTCCAATTCCAATATCAAATATTTTATCATATTTAAGAAATATATGAAAATAGCATCAAATGAATCACCAATCAGTGTCTCATACGAGTAATTTACATATTATGTTCTTGAAATAACTGATATCCGTGAAGATGTATGTAGCGTGAAATAACTGATATCCGTGAAGATGCATGTAGCGTGACTCGAGACCTCAATCACTTGAACTATTTCTCTTCCTCCTTCTCGAAATATATGACGTGCATCGGACATCGTCTTACAAAATATTCATTTCCCTAGAAGGTGAAAAGTACAACATTAAATTGCTTTTCATTCAAGCATTATTTCACTTTCCACTTGCAAACAACTCCGTATTTGAAATGAACAATCTTGCAACTAAGGCATGCAAAACAAACGATATGCCAACTCCATTCTTATCGTTACGTGATTAAATAACAATGCAGGCATGCTGAAAAAGTTAAATAATAATAAGAGGACAAAAGAATTAAACTTGATTATTAAGCCACAACCAGAACCACTGCAACAATGATTCCCACGGAATCCAGTAATCCTTCGTATCTTTCCTTTTTAGAAAACCATAACTTCAAATATCAAAACTAATTCATCACATTTAACAACATTAAAACGGCAATTCGAGGGAAGCGAGGACGCCTAAAGTTTTTTTCTTGATGGCTTCTTCCAACTGGTATCTCCAACTCTGAGAACACTGAATAACTTCCTGGTGCCATGAAATAAATATTACAACATAAATAAAATATAAGTCTAAGTACCTCAAATCAAATGACTTCAAAGGGAAGTGGACAAAAGGGACGAAAAATAATCTGAATGCATAAAAAATCAAGCAAATTATAGTGAGATGAAAACAGCACAAAAACAATTGCACAGCAATGAAAAAAGAAATGCTTTAGCTGGAAGCAAAACTATACTGCTCGAATGATTTCACGAAATGAAATAATGCCAAAAAAAAGGAAAAGGAATCATTGTGAAGGACAGTAAAAATAAGAATGTCACTTCATATTTGTCGTTTGCGTATCATGGCGGAACACACAGCTTCGAATAAACTGTAAAAGTACTTTTACAGTTTGTTCGTAAAAGTACTTTTGCGAAAGGCGATAAAGTCACACAAAAACTAGATAAGACAACGAGAATATCCCGAACACCCATGCGGAAAAAATCAGAGATGGGTGGTGTGATAACATTTGTGACAGAATGGCTTTCGATCCACTTCTTTGAATGTTCCCTTGTTCAGCTGCTTACGACAGTAGGAACAGCAGAAATGTTCCGGATGAAACTTCTGTCCTACAGCTGAGACACATCGGCCATTAATAGGCTTTTGGCAAGTGGCGCACAAACTACCGCGCTTTTCGTGATAGTGCATTTCGCACAGTGGCACATTGCCGTGCTCATAAAATGATCCTGTTTCGAAAGCCTTTCCACACTCCTAAAATCACTCATCAATATTCCTGGTACTACTAGACAGATTACTTTCCTTTCAGTAGAATCAAAAACTCACGTGAAGAACTCTGTGAAACTCACTGATCAAAGTCCTAACAGTAGCAGGAAAAAATAAAAAGAAAAAAACCAAGAATAATATTACAGTCAAAAAAATCAAAGAAGAATGATATTACAGTCCCCGAGAATGATACTTCTGCTACATGGTAGACCTGAGTCTATTATTGCTCAACTACGTATATGCACCGGGGAGACACGAAGACCCACAACAAAATTAACTGAACTTACTCATTGCGCTCTCTTCGTGCCCTACTTTAAAGACAGAGAGGATTACCAAAACTCACTGGAGGAAACTGTTCAAAAATAACACCATGCTATGAATTTTGCTGAGTCAAAAGCTTTGTCATTCACAAATGCTAGAGAACAGAACAAAAATAACGATGGAAGCAAAATTTCAAAAGCCTTCACACTTCAAAACTTGTTAAACTTCAAATGGAACATTTTTTTTAGAAAGACTACCTGGCAAATAAAGCATTCGGGATGCCAGTGCGTGCCCAGTGCTGTAATGAAATGCATTTTGATCGGATTCTTACAACCATTGCATTTCGGTGCAAACATTCGAAAAAAATCCGTCTTGCAGTAAGGTTGTCCATTCTGGAAACCATACTGGCTACGACTTTATCGTTTTTTTTTCTTCTTTTTTCTTTGTGGTAATCATTATAGAACACACTTCTCCTTGTTTTAAGCACAAAAATCTTGTTAAATTTTTGAAATATGCGCAAGAGAAATTTTTGAAAACGCAATATACATTATCTGCTAATGAAAGAAAACCGCCGCAAATGACTACCACAGAACTTAAATGAACATAATGAACATAACGTTTGACATATGAAGACTATTATGAGAAGCTCAAGAAAGTGAATATTTGGTTAGTATTTTCTAATTGTAGTACTCAACCCACTGAAATTTTAAAAAGAACATATACATTCAAGCTTCAGGAGACAATTTTTCTTTACTATAAATCCTTACTTTTTCGTGGAATCCCTCTTCGCCAAACTGCCGGCCACATTCTGCACATACAAAATGCTCTGCGTGAAATGTTTTACCAAGTGCTGTCACACATCGCTACAAAACAAAAGAAAGGAATTAGTGGGCCTGTCTGCAAGTGGTTATCATTTGATATCAGAGTTACAAAGATCTGAAAACCAACATCCTTGATTGGCCCATTGCAATATGCACATCGGGGAGAGAATATGTCGTGGTAGTCATTCTCACAGTAAGCTTTACCGCCTCGCTCGAAGAAATTTCTATGTCCAAGCTCTTCACCACATTGACAGCATACGTAATGTTCCGGATGCCACATTTTGCCCAATGCAATGACCACCTGTGAATTACTTACATTACCAGATACCCTAATAACAGCAGGCAAAAGTGCCCGACTTCATATTTTTAAATGAAATGTAACAACTTTTAGTAAAAAATAACAGCAAAAACTCAAGAACGACACAAAACATGAGAAATACATTCAAAATAGACACGGGAAATTTCCGATCTTTTAATTGTGCTTAATATTATGAACACTTTATCGGACAGATGAATATCTCGAGATTAGAAAATACCAGATAGAAATATCAGATAGTTTCATTGAGTAATCTATCAAACGAATGTTTATGATATACATTTTAATTCCAAATAACTGGAATTGTTATTTTAAAATTTTAAATGAAATTTGTCTGTAAGTATCGTTAATTTAACTTCACATCCTGACTCATTTAATGCAAAAATTTAATTTACAGTAATAGTGACCTTAGAAGCTAACAAAGATGCACAAAAGAGTACTGAAATTAAAAATGAAATTACATCTTGAAGTCTATTATCCTTAGGAAGACAATAAATATATTTACAAGAATGTGAACAATAAGGACAACCTGTCCAATGATCGGTTTGCCACAAGAAGCGCAATCGCCTTTGGGAATCGTGCTAATGCCATGTTTCGACATATCCTTTTGCAGTGTTCCCAACATTGAATCCAGCTGCAACGGATCGTCCGTCAACGAGTTCTGCTGCAAATTATAACACGGATCACATTCCTAAACATAATTTAATAGCACGAATTGTTAACCAAAAGTTGACCTCTCAAAAAATATAGTACAAATAACATTTCATTAAGATGTGGTATAAAGACAAAGAGTAGAAAACAATGACATATGGCAATGTAAGTTCATATTATAAAGATCATGAAAGGCAATGTATAGAATAAAGCCATTCTCTACGAGAGAAATACTGCCTGAACGGTAGGATGTGGTAATCCTGATAGAATTACATGCGTGGCCATTTACCAAGTAAGGAAAACGTGAATCAAAAATAAGAAATTGTGAACTACTAATGAAGAGGATGAAGTAAGCAGCTAGAACACTTCCTGCACAGCATTCAGCAGGCAAACTAGTTTCTGTATAAGCTAAAAAGTTCAGCAAGCATTTGCTGATTTTTCCGCCAACTTAACCTTTCTCAAGACTTATTGTGAGAAAGTTGGCAAACATGAGAGATGGATTTTGCATAGTAGAACATATGCCTTTCAATTCTAATATTTTTCAGTGAACATGTGGTGATAGAATACAGAGTAATAGGAAAATGACCGTTGACGTTTTCCCTGTTGATTTATACTACAGGTCAGGAAAATATAGGTCAGAAAAATGGTCAGAAAAATCAGAAAAATGTTATAGTCAGAAAAATCCATTTTTTGCAATCCATTTCTTCATTCACATCACAAAAACGACGATGTTGAACGAACCTGAACATTACCAAATGATTGTGATAAATCACCACCAACATTTCTGTTGTAACTGAAACAAATTTAGAAGCTTTTTCAACGTTGCATTATGTTGTTGGACTCCAAATTTGTTACTTATCAATTAATATTATGAAGATCACAACCACAGAGTTTCGGTATCTCTGATTTATAATAATCAAAGAGATTTTCACTGAATTCGCTTAACATATTTATAAATACATCAGAAGTACCATACACAAATCGGTTAAAGTTCAATTTAATTCTGGAAATGATCTCTATTTTGAACTTAAT